TTTGGCTGACCTGACCGTTCTTTGTCTTCCACGTCAAAATCTCCAATTCGGAAGCGTCGAAACCAGTACTCACATGTACTAGACGATGGAGCATTAGAGCTACCATAAGTTTTCAAAAGCAAACGATGACTTTCAGCAGCAGTTTTCTTCGAACTATAGAAGAAAAGTAAAACTTCCCGCAAATGCTGTTTTTTCGGCACGTATTTTGACATGATTGTAAGTGAAAAAAATTATGTTGTTTACGCTTTGGTAAAATAACACCTACTGAAAACTAATGTCAAATGATGTGGCTTTCACGTGAATATAGTTACAGTATGGCCCGATGCGTTATAGTACAAGTTACGCCATCTGTAGTGGAAATTCTTTAAAACTAATGCATACACCCAATATGTCATTTGACATTCAGAATTGAATTCAATTGGTTTACAAAAAAAAAACAAAAAAAATGGCAGCTGTTCAATTTTACCAATATCATTTTGTTTGTGAGAAATTTTTGTTTAAAAATTGCGACATTAAATTCATCAAATTGCTAATAAGAACCAACTATATTTTCGTTCCATGTGCCCATCACACCTTGCTAAATTGATTCTCGAACGATGAATGAATAAATTTGTTTGATATTTTTTTAATTCCATAAACACAAAATCAAATGCAGTAAATTTGTTCCGGCTGTGCAGCACTAGCAAAGAGCTGAGCGAAGCGAAGCAATTCAGCTAGTAATCGAGCAAGTGACCAAACATGAAAATGTATATGAAAGCCGATTGTCAATGGTTCAAGATAATCTAACTAAATGTGTGAAAAAGGATAGACTAACTGAGGCGTTAAACATATTAGTGACGGCCTCAATGACTGCAAAAGTCATCTTTCAATTTATCAAAGAGAAGTTTCACGTCCAATCCAAATATGTCCCTGTTGGTAGCTTTGAGTTAACACATTGACATAACATATTGACCAAAACATTATACAATGAACTTTATTACATTTTTATAAATTTTTTAACCGGTTCTAAGACGATTCCAGTTTTAGCTCTCGATCAAATGAATAAAACAAAAACACGGAAGATGAAAGAAGACACGCAAAACCGATTTGTTGATTGTCAGTTCGTCAGAAACACGAATAAAAACAACATTGACCATTTGTATCTTAAGTTTTTCAAAATAAGTTTAGATTCATTCAAGTAATCATGAAATTTTCGTTTCATCGACGATCAGGCTCATATCAACCCTCGAATGATATGATGCTTCGATTTTATTCCTACTACAAGCAAGCAACATTGGGTCCATGTTCGCAGAAGAAACCACCATTCTGGGATGTTGTGGGCAGGTAAACAAATCAAGCCTTAGTGATATTTTTATGCCTTCTACGATTTTGAACGTTTTTAATACAGGGCAAAGTACGAATCGTACAAAAGTCTTGGAAAGATGTCAAAAGAGCGAGCAATGGAATTATATGTGGATGAGTTGAAAAAAATAATTGAGACAATGTCATATACGGATAATGTAGCTGAATTCATGGGAAGCGTCTCTGAACTGGATGGCATTGATGTTGACGACTTGGAAACTGTTGCTCCAGAAGCAATAAAAAAAGTGAAATCACAGCCGAATTCACCTTTTGGTAGTTGTTTATTTTCGTACTTGTTCGTTTCATTGAGACTAAATTTTATTTCTTTTGTTTTCATTACACCAAAGCGTCGCGCGAAGCAAGTCCAATTCGGTCATCCGAAAGAACACTACGGTATCGTAATGAAATGGATTATATCAATGGGCACTCACATAACGGTCATTTAACCACTACCGAACCATCAGACGATGATGAATATATTGACACAGTTGAGGTAATTATGATTTTATTATTGGGTGATGCCAATTTTTCCTAGAATTTTTCGTTCCGGCTACAATCTCTGCTGTTGGCCTCAAGTTGTTGATGTTAATTGACACCGAATCATATGTGCCAAAATCGATACTGTTAAACTCGCTTGAACTTATTATCATTCTACCCAGTGATTGAAATAAGAAAATCTAAAAAGATTCGAAAATGCTGAAAATTACCTCCAAAGAGAATTCACAAATGTATTTATTTATTTGATTTATTTTTTGTTATTAGCTTTCGCTTTTTTGCTTTCTGAATAACTTTAAAACTAATTTTATTCTTTTATGTGCATTTTCACTCTCTACATTCTTCTTCTTGATAACTCGTTAAATAATTCTACACCGTTGTGCAATACACATTTTCTTGCGTTCTAATATCTGACGGTCTCATTCATTTCTGTTTCTGGTGTTTATATTGTGGGATTCATTTGCGTATTTAATTTTATTACGTAAATATTGAGGGACAAGATCATTTTTCATCTTATAAACAAGTAACATCACATCATAATTTATTCGTTGTGTTACACTCATCCAATTTGAACTTTTTAGCAAATTCTGAAGGCATTCTGTAATCGCATTGCACGATTCTATAATTATTGCATCGATTCAATTTGTTCCTCTGTACAATTTATACAGAACGTTGAGCAGTAGTCATAGTGCGGTTGAATAATCGAGTAGTATACAATTTTCCTTATATCAAAAGTGATTTTGTATCATTATTCTGGACCATAAAGCGTTTCTTCGCCAGAAATGGTTTATTTAGTACAGAGATGACCGAACGCACGCTCAGTAGCGAATTCAGCAACTCAACTGAGCGTTGTTTTCTGCTCCGTGCGTTTACACGCACCTTCTAGAAGAGTCAGTGCGCGCACTGGCTTAATTTTGCAACTATCATTTTTGGTGATTTTTCTGCTAAATCTAATATAAACATGACTTTTTAGAAATTATTCTTTATCGAGAAAGGGGCTGAATATTAAAAAAAAGTTTGCGTATGGCCAAAAATGTAAAAAAGAGTGGTGAAAAAAGCAAAAACAATACAAGCGCGCTTCAGTCATCTCTGTTTTAGTACGAATATTTTGTTATATTTACAATATACTAATTCATTCTAATTAAATTCAATCTCTCGGAGAGCTTCTGGAACTGGGTCGGAGGGGTCAAATTAACCCCCTCTGAATCAATTTTGTCACATTACCCCTATGTGGAATTTTTTTACCCATACTCTGATTTAAATTCAAAAATGAGGACCTTTTTTTCAAGTCCTCACGTTTTCTGCGAAGCGGGTTTACACTAGATAGAATCGATTTTGAAAAGTGATAACCTTTTTTTTGCTCGTCACTTTTGAAATTACCCATACTCGAAATTACCCCCCAAATAAAAATTTGCAATTTGAAATTAAATATTAAATCGATTATTAAATATTTGGTGCAATCGACCAATGAATAAATTTTCCCAATAATGAATGCGAAAAACACTCTTGAACTTCGTACTCAGGGGTAATACAGCGTCCTAACGTCACTTAAAATGATATCAGTCTTTTTGGTGATAAATCCACGCTCAGGAGCGTCACTCCATTTTAACCTCGTCTAGAGGTTTTTCATCTGATTTAAGTAACGATCAATTTATGTTCTTTGGGAGATTGTATCTTATGTATAAAAATTTCGCAAGCGTAGTTATTTGTAATTAAAGTAATCGACATTCGTATGGCGGCAAATTCTCACTTAAATTGGGATGTAAATCGATTTGAAATTTCATTTCCGTTCTTATTGGTGCCAAAAGTATGGAAAGCGTGTAGACACATCGAAAATACATATTTTTAATTTTTTTCCCGAGGGGTTACAATCCAAGAAGTTAGGAGCAAACACAGTTGATCTCGAAGTTTAAGCCAATATTCTTTGGTTTTCCATCAAAGATTTTAATAATATGGAGGTCATTTTGAATGAAACCTTCAATGACCGAATTTGCCATTCGAGTAAATAACCGAAATTTCTTAAACAGGGTTTCCTTTATTGGGAGTTTTTCTGTACTAATTTATTAATAATACGCAGAACAAATTAGTGATTTTGGCCAACGCGCCCTAATATGATATTTATAATATATATATTACTTGCAGAAATTAATACTAATTCAATTCAAAAAAATTTCATGCTCATACATCTTGAAAGATCAATAGAATAAAATTGTTTCTCATAAAAACTTAGTATTTAAAGTTTGAACTATAATAGCACAGTCCGCACATAAAACAATGTTTTCTTAGAACTAAACGAACTGTCATCTAAAATGTGTATTCAGATGATACATTCGTTTAAAATGGTATTTGCCATCTAGTTTTCGTTTAAAATTCGCCATACAACCGAATAAAATTCGCACAAAATAGAATGCTTCTGCAAAAAATCGCTATTTTAAACGAAAATTAGATTAAAAATACAATTTAAAACGAATGTATCATCTGAATACACATTTTAGATGGCGCGTCGTTTAGTTTTGAGATGTTATTTCTTTGTTTGCGACGAGTGTTTTTTCTTCAATTTGGCACATGTGCCGATCAAGTACCAAGCGGTAGCATTCGTAGCCTTGATTACGGAATGGGCCATGGTTTTGGTCTAAGTTGCTCCTCTCGAAAAAATTTGACTATCGTCGTTCCTGCGTTTCAGAAGGAACGAATTTTTTTATGTGACAAAATTTTTCATGTATTACTTGTTTTATCACATCTATGGTAGCCTAGAAATTATTTATCTCACGATATTAGAACCAAAAAGTATAACCAGTGGTGCAATTCATAAAAAAGCGAACGCCTGTTCGGTACATTCGAACACACTGGACGTGTTCCACAAAGTATCCGTTCGATTTGATTCAATTGTTTTAAATAGAGCTAAATCGAACGCGTTTGCAAATATGTTCGGCGGTTCTTTCAAAATCACCGAACGATTTTGTGTTTTAGCGATCCAATTGAAAAATTGCGAACACGTTCGACGAGCATGACTATTCATGTCATTTATATGTTAACATGAAAGTTTGTTATACATGGTTATGCATGTGACGGTTCTTTGTTTATGTGGATTTTTCTTTAGCATTATAGTGTTTCACTTAATAAGACTTTAATGATTTTTATTATTTCTTGGGCCTATAGATCGAAACTAATCTTTAGTTTATTCGCACCAAATCTAGTTTTGAAGATATACCCCGGATATTAATTTTACGTATATTTAGTACACACGAATCTAAGCCACAAAATTGTATATTGATTCTTAATACAATATGGAAGAATATTCCAATACCTTTCATTTGATCTTTTACATGCTCGTACATGCTTTGATATCACAATTTTTCCAGAGTTTGGTACTTTAGGTGGGAAATATAACATTTTGACCGGGCTCAAAATGACTTATATCGAACGAATTTGTCGAGTTACTTTCTTGAATTTCACAGTCGAAGATCATACATAGAATTCAAGTGATACATGCACTAAATACATATTTTCATTGGACCTTCAAACGGGGAAACGTATTCGCCGCCCAAACGCGTTCACCGAACGCAAATCATTGCCGGAAACGGTCGGTTTTAAGGTATTTTTGCATTGTTCCATGCCGACGTGTTCGAAGTTCTATGAACTATGTTCGTCTGACGAAATGACGAAAAATCGAACGAGTTCGGTTCGTTTGGTGCTGAATGATTTGTATAGAAGCAACTTTTGTACAGATTGACTTTTTTCGATATCTTATTAAAATTTTGTTATCGTATTAATCCAATGTTATTAACGTTAATGTTATTAAAAACTTTGATAACAAAAATGTTACTAACGTTAGCATTAGTTTTGATAACTATTGATATTAACGCAACATTAAAATATCAAAAAAAAGTTTCATACAAAAAACATTTGACTCATAGAATGAAAG